ATATATATATGTGTGTGTATGTATATATATATATTTAAGACTATTGTAAAACCACAAACTTCTGAGGACGACAGTAAAGTTTCTGTCTTGTTTTGCTGTACATTTGTGCATCTTGTGTACATGTTCTGGGCTGTACATGTACACAATAAATACTTGTTTTTTTAGTTTTAAATAAGCTGAAATTTGAGCCTGGAGAGGAACCGTGTAGGAATCCTGTAAGTATAACAGATGGTTTAAATCCTCAGGAAACTGTTGAGCTTCTGCACCACTCTGTGAATAATTTGTTTTGTTTTGTCCTACAGATAATTCATCCTGAGGTCCTGCAGACCGGCCTTCACGGTTTTCTGTAAACCTGGATGAAACCAGTCCGAGGATCAGGTTTCATCAGCCGGTCCGGTGTTTTGTTGCTGCATCACCYGCAGTCGGACCTCTTTGTCGATGAAGTTACAGTAAAGATTAGTCGTCGCTGCAGGTGTTCATCTGTTAACTTTTTACAAACACTTTGTTGTTTTTATTTCCCCTCTTTTAGAAAATAAAAGCTTCTGGACACGACGGAGGCAGCTGTTCTTTATCTCCGCTCCATCGAAGGCCGTCTGCTTAAATAATTCAGACTCAGGAGGTGAAGCTGACAGCATGAAGCAGGAGGTGCAGAGCTCAGCCTGCCAGGAGGAAACATGGAGGAGTTCCACCATCTGCTGGTGGACTGGTTTATTCACACCTGCAGACTTTTACTTTCTGACACTTTAGTATAGATAATAAAAGAATAATAACAAAAATAACAGAAACTATGAATGATAATGAGCCCAAACCGTCATCATGGCTGCTTTTGTCTCTACTTTTAAGTGTATCCAGTGAAAAATGTTTGATTTTTCAAATCAAAAGAAAAGAAAAACGTAAAATTTTCCACATATAATCTCTTCTATAACTGACTCTGGGTGTTATGTAAGATGGGCTTCGTTGTTCAGGCCTCCAGAAAATGCAGCTTTTGGATTAAGGGATTTATCACCAAGAACAGAGGCGGGATTTAGACATTTTTTAAACGGCAGCAGGTTTACTGGAAGGCATCTGACTGTAGGAGCAATCGTGTTATTTACAGATGAAGGAAAACAGGCAGTTTTTATGTTTTAATGAACAAACTTGTTAAAATGAAGTGCTTTGCTTTGACCTTCAAAATATTTTTTTAAATTTTTCATATTAAAACAAATATCACTGAGGCTTATTGATACACAAATAAAATCTCAAATCTATTAGTGCTGATTGATCTGTATTTAAATAACAGATTATTTACTGTGCAAATGTGCAAAAAATGTCATAATTTCTGTAATTTGGTCAAATTTGTACTCAAAGAGAGTTGTGTTTTTCTGGCCTCATTAAAAAGAAATACCAGCTACCTTCATGAGGCCTGATTCAGTGTCTAAATGCAAAAAGAAGCAGAGCTGATTGATGTGACTTTTCATCCTCATGTTTAGTTAAACAGCTGCTTTCAAACATGAGACGAGCAGAAGGTACTTCTCCTAATCTATGCCCTCATCTCGTGGCCCAGGAGTCGGCTGACTCCAGCTCCTCCTCCTGTTTCCATCCTTCCAGCTCTTCTTTTCTTCAAAGCTCACGCCGTTCGGCAGCGACAGGACGGCCCAGCGTTTTGCTCCGAGCCGTGGACTGTGCCTCGGAGGACATGTCTAACTTGGACTCTGCTGCTTGCAGAAGACGGAGAAAGAAAAAGTCCTATTTAACCAACCTGCAGAGGTAAGTGGGACAAAGTTTTAAACAAGAGATGTGATGAAAAAATATTTTTGGGAAAGACTTAAAATCAACATTAGCCAAGCTGTGGAGACCTGCAATAATTCATTAATAATACCTGTAAAATTAATTAAACTAATGGTTTGCTGATCCACCTGTTTGATAATTACTTATTGTGGTTGCTAGAAGCAGCCACAAGGTGGTGCTAATGAGCAGTAGATTAAAGTATGGTAGGCTCATTTATCATTTAAGTCATTTTGTTTACTATGATCTATTAGCTTTTTTCCTTTAATTTTTTTAAATTATCTGTACATTCTACTTATTACATTTTTTTAAAGCAGCAAGAAGAAGAAAGTCGTTACTCCTGTTTCATTACGGCTTGTTATTAAAAAGGTGCAACAATTAATGGACCCTTATCAAACCATTCAACACAGTGTTTTAGATTCAATACACACTTTTATCGAACAATGCAGATTTTTTAAATTTATTTTATCAACTTGTCTTCTGAAGATGCTCTGTGTTAAAGGATCAGTGGATCTGTGTTCGACTACTCCACCTAGGCTGCATTTTCAAGCACAGATCCACTGAGAAACTTGATGTTTCAGCAACATTCAACTTAAAAACTGGACTTTTGAGGTTAAACAAATGTTCATAATTAATTTCAATAAATTACAAGTTAAAAAGGGCATGGACATTTATGTATTTGTATCGAAAAAATGACAAACCAATTAGACTAAAGCATCAAACTGAACCGAATCGTGAATTTTCTGTATCATTG